CAGCTGCAGCTTGAAACCTTGATCTGAAGCAGTAGATGGACACTCTTCCAGTTATGCTTTTATTATTTACAAGTTATTTTTAATTATTCAAAATGGTGCCAGAACATAGTGACAGTTGAAGCGTTTCACTGTATCTTCCCCTTAAATACAAGGCACAATGAATCATTTAATCAATTCAATCAATCAAAATTATCACAAGTATAGATAGGATAGATCATGAGACTCTCTTCCCCATGTTACATGTGTCTGAGTCCAGAGAATATAAGTCTTAGGTGAAGAGCAAATAGTTTAGACGAGCTGTGAGCAAGAATTTTTTTTTCATTCAGGACGTGATAGATACACGGAATATACTGCCTGAGAGGCTGATGGAGGCAGTTACTCTTGTAACATTTAAGAAGCATTTGTATGATCACCTAAAATGCCGGGCATAGTAGGCTGCAGACCACGTGCAGGTAAATGGTATTGGTGTAGCTTGGTGTTTGTTGGTTGACATAGACATGGTGGGCCTAAGGGCCTGTATGACTAATTGATAGTGTCATGAAACATCTGGCCCACACATGACTCCAAACTTACAACAGTTTAGTTTGCTCTTCCCTAATCTTGGCAATGGCCTGGTAAGCTACTAACCGGGGACATAAATACTGACATTGGTAGTGATGGCAAGGTAATAACAGGTCGTCAACAACAGCATTGTTTTTTTTTCAATTTCAGCACTTTGCACACTGTCCCCAGCTTCTCACCAGTCCACTCATGACTTTTCTGCGTTGTTGCTTGAATTTTTTCGAACCTATGTATCCTCAAGTCTTCCCTGTGTATCTGCTACATGTCTACCTCTGTCCATCCTGCTCCAAGCCAAACTTACATCTCTCACTATTTGCTGTTTCTTTAAAATAGCTGTCTGATGGTCCTTCTCTTGCCCTCCATATGCTGCTGCTTGCCTGCCTGTCTCAAGTTCCTGCTTTTGTCCACTCCTCTGGGTGCTGCTGGTGGCCTGTCTTGGAATCTGTGCTCGCCTGCACTTCTTTTCAACTTGAATAAATTTATAATTGAACAGGTTTCATGCTTGGTGACAATTGAAAAATTAAAGATTAACGCATAAACTAGAAAAGTTAAGGAAAGCTCACGAGGCCCTTCAACCTCATCCCTATAAGAACCTTCAAATCACGTCTGAGGTGTGCAGTGGCATTTTTAATAGCCCCAATATTTCTTTACCAGATTATTTCAACTATTTATTATTGCCTAAAAATATTTGAAAAGTTCTTGAAAAATGACTCCTGCCTGACACAATATCTGCCATGCACTCCTAATTCTTAGGACTTGTATTTTAATGTTAGTAATGCAAGACCTGGCAAAACTTGCCAGGTTCATTTCCAACTTTAATAACTCAGCGTGCTGTTATGCACTTACCATGACATTGAAAATAAAAACCCAACCATACTGTATTTTTAAATGAATGTGGTCAGACTATCATTACCGCAACTGTAACTGCATTGCTAAGCTGAATTAAAGCTCATTAATCACTCCCATTAAAAATTGTCGTGGGAAATACTGTTTTATTTCTGTCTCATGTGAAACATGTAGTGTGATTTAAAAAAAAATAAATCTACCCATATAGTGTTTTAGGTAAATTGATATATGGTCTTAATATTCCTTTCCAGCTCAATCAGTCTGCTGTGTTATTTCTGGTACTTCCACTGGTAATTAAGGATTTTGTGGAGTTGAGCTTTGATGGTGTGTGGGAGTTGGGGTAAGAGCATGGGAGAGCTCAAGCCCTAAAGTTGTTGAACTCAATATCAAGTCCAGAAGGCTGCAGAGTCTCCAAGTGGAAAATTAGATCTGTTCCTCCAACTTGCGCTGAGTTTTGCTGGAGCACTTGCAGCAAGGCTGAGACAGATATTGGCCAGGGAACAAGGTGGTGTGTTGAAGTGGCAGGCAACTGGAAGCTCAGGATCATTTTCGCGGACAGAATGTAGATGTTCCACAAAGCGGTCACCCAGTCTACACTTCATTTCTCCAATGTAGAGGAGACCACGTTGTGAGCAGTGAATGCAGTAGACTGGATTGTGTGAAGTGCAGATAAAGCGTTGCTTCACCTGGAAGGTGTGTCTGGGCCTTGGATACTGTGGGGGGGGATAGTAAACAGACAGGTGTTACACCTTCTGCAGTTGCGGGGGAAGGTGCCATGGGGCTGTGGGGTATTGTTGGGAGTGAAAGAAGAATAGACCAGGGTGTCCAGAGGGAACGATCCCTGTGGAAGGCTGACAAGGGAGGGGAGGGGAGTATGTCTCCTGTGGGGGCATCTCACTAGACATGGCTAAAATGGCGGTTAATGATCCTCTGGATGTGGATGCTGGTCAGATGGTAGATAAAGAAAAGGGGAACCATATTGCTATTTTGACAAATACAGAACAGTACGATGGAGTTACATATAGCGTGACACGAACCCAAGATCACGGTTGAGGCTGTCTTCATGGGTGTGGAATTTGGCTATCAGTTTCCGCTCAGCGAATCTGCGTTGTTGTGTATCTCGAAGTGTCCTCACCCGAAGATTCACATTCATGTCACGCTACATGTAACCCCACCATCCTGTTCTGTATTGGTATAATCTTCCTTGCTGTCCTGTTTTCACACCATCACCTTAACTTCTTATGATCTCTCTACCTTAATTAGTTTGTACAGTTTTGGATTACTTGTTACTTTGGTTAGACCTTCGGCTAGTGACTCTTATACCTATTGTGTTATTCCAGCCATTTGGTTTGTCTCCAGCACTGTCTTATTTTTAATTTTTAGTAATTATCTCTCTGCCTCAATTAATCCGATCCTAGGTCATTCCTTCATTTGTTATTCAGCTGTTGACACTTTACTCACACTGCTTGACACCTTTGATCACCCGCAGAGATTTATTATTCAGCCTGTTGACACTCCACACACACCATTTATACGATCTTTAGATCTCTCTACCTATAAATTCTGTATCTGTGTGCTTCAGTTCACCTGACGAAGGAGCAGCGCTCCGAAAGCTTGTGATTTCAAATAATCCTGTTGGACTATAACCTGGTGTCGTGTGATTTCTGACGTTGTCCATCCCAGCCCAATCATGGCTAATACCTTCTGGATTCAGCATTGCGTTCAGAGATTTCAGATGGTAACATCTGCCCCCGGTGCACTTCTTGTTTCTTCGCTATCTGACCACGATCATGGAGGATACACAATCCTAGTGATCTTTATATCCAATAGGAGGGACCCAACGTGATACTTCATGTTCCCCCAAACATCCTTCTGTGGATTGATAGAATTATCAAGTGGAAACTCTAGTTGGCGTGCGAGTAATAAATAATAAATAACTTCAATTGATTTCCTGTCTCTTGGTGTCCCTCCAAGCTGTTGTCTTTCAAAATGGCTCAAGATTGAGTTGTACTGGTGAACGAGCACAAACCTGCTGGCACCAGTTTGTGTATCTGCATGCCTTCAGTCCATATCATGATAGCTAGCAATTTTGCTTTTCTTTTAGGACTTTCGACATTGCAATATTTTGGTTTTTGATTGGCAAAGATGTAGCCAGAGAAGCCTAGACTGGCCTTAAGAATGGTGGGGAAGAGGCTTCTAGTTCCTACCTCTCATGAGAGGGAATTACTGTAGATGCACCCAAATGAGCACTAACATTTTCCTTTCACTGTACTAGTTAGCTACTCTCCCAGCGACTTCAAAATACCTGATAGGACCACCAGTGCTGGCTCTTTCTCAAAGGTGTGAAAGATGGTATTCTCAGATTTTCATCTTTTGCATGTGTGATGACAACCCCTTTTCATGAGCAACAACCACTTTTCAACAGGAAAAATCTTTGTTGATTTTTCAAAATTGTGATGACTTTGGCCAAGTACTGATTATTCTGGTTTAGGTTACTTCTCCAGACAGCTTTGGGGATTAAGAGGTTAAGTTTCTTTTCTTATGTCCAAGCACACCTCTTGTTCGATTTGGTGGGGGCGAATTCCTCTTTTAAAAAACAAATCATATTTTAACATCTCCATTGAGACCTGTTAGATTTCTGTTGGCTGAGTTAAGCACTGAAATTATTTCATGTTGGAAACATCAGCCAAGAGTTGAGCATTCGTGAAGTGTGTCTGGTTCCTACCACATGACAGTTCATCAGGAAACTGGAGAAAGCTTGTGATTTGTCTGATAACAGCTTAAATATATTGATACAACAGTGACAATTTTCTTTGTATTGCAGCTTTAATGAAGTAAAACACTCTAAAACAGTTCACAGGATCATTATCAGCAGAATGTCATCAAAGCGTGTATGGAGATTTTGGGATAAATGAGCATAAATTTTGTTTAAGGATCATGTTGTGAGAGAAAGGTGGAATCGCTGAGGGATGAAACTCTGGGGCTTGATGGCTGAAGGTTGGGCTTCCTGTAGTGAAATAAAACAAAGAACTGTGGATGCTGGAGAGCTGGAGACATTCAGTGGTTATGGCAGCATCTCTGGAGACAGAAACAGAGTTAACATTTTGAATCCAGTTTGGTTCTTCTTCAGAACATTCTTCAAAGTCATGCCTGACTCAAAATATTAACTCCGTTTCTTTCTCCACAGATGCTGTCAGACCTACTGAGTTTCTCTCGTAATTTCTGTGCTCGTTTCAGATTTCCAGCGTCTGCAGTATTTTGCTTTTACTCAGTGTCACTAGGGTCCAGTCCAGTTTTCTGACGTCCACACCCAGGCATGACTTAAGTATTCGTTTGCTGCTGTTAACAGGTGAATTGGTCTCAGTGTTAAATTCAAGGTGAATGCACTTTGGGGAGTCTGTTCTGCCACCTGCTCGATAAAAGAAAGTGAAAATATGATAATTGAGAATACCAGTGAAAAGCAGAGTTGAAGAAAAAATTAAAATTAATGTGGCTTATGTCTATGAGTGTGAATTTACTTATAGATATTGCCTTGTTTGTTATCTTAGTTTCATTCCTTTTCTCATCTTCTCCAATTTATTTTATTTCACCAGATTCACCGAAGCAAAAGCACTTGGAGAGAAAGTGAATCAGTCCAGGAATAAGATTAGTGAGTATCCACATTATATTCCAGAAATCCTCACTGATGTATGTAGAATCAGGAAAACAAACGTGAAGGGAGCATAATTGGCTAACCTCTGAAAACAAGAATACAGATTGTAATACATAACATAACTATTTCCATTCATTGGAAATATGTCAGTCGTGCTGTCTGGTGTTTCAGATGTTTGCTGCATGTAGCTGGCAAGCACTGTGCTTTTTACATCAGCACAGGAATTGATAACATGAATTGTTCTTTCTACTTAAAAGCGGCCTGAAACTCTTAAAAGGAAGGTGCATTGTGGCTATGAGAAATTCTGAGAATCATTGTGCTCAGACTTTGACTGATGATACAAGAAATTGAGTGGGTACCAATGTTTTCTTGCAATGCGCTGGAGACCTTGGTGGGGTAATGTTCCATGTCCAGGGTCACCAGCTCAGCCAGGCTAAGAAAGAGGAGTGATCTGCATGTAGTGACATACAGGACACAAATACGCAGGAGTTGAAGCATGAGAAGAAAGGATTCAGGTGTCAACTTGCTGGAGACCACGGGCGCAGACGACTATCTGTTTAGTGCAGTCACTTGAAGACTTTGATCAGCCAGTACAGGAGAAGCTGAAGGTTGTATGTAACCAGGTGCTTGAAGTGTTGGAAAGCTTGCCATAAAACCTGTTCTCAATGACAAGAAATGTGCAATTTTCCAACACTACCTTAGTGAAGGATTTTGCACAGGATCAGGAGCCTATTCTCCCTAACGTGGGATAGGTCATCACTTATAGCAATACACCCGTGGAAACCACCATGTTATAGTGAATAATAGCTAATACCACACCTTATATTTCATGTGGCTCTTATCAGAGTCCTCAGTACTGCTTAACTCTATGGCCAGAGCTAGTGAATAGGGAAGTGTGGTTGGAAAAATGGTATCAGTGATAAATTATTTAATTGATTTATAACCCAAGGACAAAGGGACTGTTGATGTTGATCTTCTGTTTCTTGTGTGTGCCTTCAGTTCCAGTTGTAATTCTTCTTTCTCCTCATCTTCCTCTTCCAGCAGCAGCATGGAGGAAGCCAGGCAATGCTGTTGCTCTACTTTCAGGTTATAGTTATGGTTTTCAATCAAGAGCTCTTTTGAAAAGTCTGGACATCTCATGCATTATTCATCCCTTAAATAGAGATAAAGGAATTGCACCCAGAACATCCTCTGTGAATGTGGTCTCCTGATGAAAGTCCTTTTACACCCAACCCCTTCGTCTCCCTCTTGTAGCAGCTCATCCAGTCCGTGTGGTCTTTCTTCAAGCTCCAAGTTATGGTAGATTCCCAAAGAAAACTCTATTAGACCATTGACATCTGCAAGCAACTTATTTCAGCACAAGATTTAAATGACCAAAAAACATTTGAAACCAGCCAGCTCGCAAGGGTAGACTATTGAAATTCTAGCCAAATACAGGAACAGTCCAAAAATATGAACAGTTGTACCATCGTGCAGAAGAAAAATCCAGCAACTAATCTGAAAATAGTCTATTTAAATAACACTGGAGGGGCTCCCTAATTTGTTTAATATGCGTTCAACTGTGTGAGGTTACGATGCAACATCTAGAATATGACTTTCCAAAGTGATTTCATGGGCATTAAATCAGTATTGTACACTCATTAACATCAAACTTTACCAGCTCTGCATGCTGTTGGTGGTTGTTAGGAGTGTGCATGCAAAGCCCTTTACCTAGCTGGGTTGCAGCACTCCGTCAAGAGTATGCATGCCATCTCAGAAACCATTTTCAATGATTAAGAAGCTAAGTCCAATTGTATTGCTTTTCAGTATATTGCATTACATTCTAACCAGTTGTGTGACTTTAAAGGAATAAAAACAAAGCTGGGAATACTGAGCTGTCTGGCAGCATCTGAGAGAAGCCATAGAGATTGGAATGAAGTTGGCCAGGTGGATCTCATTGGGGTTGTTAACCTGGGCTAATCAGGGAGCCTTGGCAAAACCAAAACAGCTAGTGCTGATGGGGGGAGAAAAAGGGCCATCACAACCAGAATTGAAACCCTTTTGGACCTGGTGAGACCAGATCATTGTAGAGGACAGCATATTATTATGCGCAGCAAGAGTGATTGTCCTGAGCAAAGGTCACTGCCAGGTACTGGCTGAACTCCACCAGGGTCAACCAGGCGGTTTCCAAAATGAAGATGCTGGCAAGAAGTTATGCCTGGTGGCCGCGATTGGACGTCAGCACAGCTATGTTGGTGAGGCAGTGCCCAGAGTATCAACAAAGACAAAAATTGCCACCAACAGCTCCCCTAACTTGTGGGAATGGCTGGATAAACTCTGGGCACGCTTACACATTCACTATGCCAGTCCTTTCATGGGCTCTTTGTTCTTGGTCGTTCTGGATGCCCATTCATCAAACTCAAGGATAATGATTGTAAAGCTGCAGGCGTTGTTTGTAATACACGGACACCCATAAGTATTTGTCACAGACAATGGAATGTTTGAGTATTTCCTAAAGTTAAATGGCATTCAGCATGTTCAGACAGCTCCATATCATCCATCATCCAATAGTCTGGCAAAATGAGCAGTCCAAACGTTGAAGACAGACTTGAAGAAACAGCCTAGAGCTTCACTTGATACTAAATTGTCCAGGTTCCTGTTTGATTATAGGACCACCCCTCATGCAACTACAGGGATAGCTCCAGCAGAGCTGCTGATGTGAAGAAGATTCTGCACTAGGTTAAACTTAATATTCCTGGACTTGGGGGGCCAGCGTGAAACAGCACCAGGAAATCCAATGTTGGCCAAGCTTCTCTACGCGAGAGAGACAATTTATTTCAGGGGACGAAGTTTGAAGTCAACGATGGAAATGGCCATGCATGAGTATGAGGCGAGGTTGAAGTGAGGTCAGGTCCTGTGACATACCAAGTTCAGGTAGGTGAGGCGGTCCTGAACAAATATGTGGATCACATGAAAGCTGCTACTTCTCAAACGGGACAGGAGCAAGACATACTTGCCCCTCAGAGCAGCTGGAAAGGCTATCAGAAACCACGGGTTCTCTCCCTCCTCTAGCGTCGAAGAAATTTCAGAGACCAAGATGGATCCAGCCAATGTCACAGCCTCTATTGCCTGAAGAAGAGGAGGAATTCCTTCTGAGACACCCCAGGTGAAACAGAAGGACAATGTACACACTACCTGTGTCCGAGTCAGGGTCAGAGGAACCGGACCTTGTGCAAAAGCACAAGGAGAAGCTTTTTTTTTCATTCATTTGTGGGATGTGGGTGTCGCTGCCTGGGTCAGCATTTCTTGCCTGTCCCTAGTTGCCCTTGAGAAGGTGGTGGTGAAGCTGCTTTCTTGAATGGCTGTAGTCCACCAGCTGTAGGTTGACCCACAATGCCTTTCAGGAGGAAATTCCAGGATTCTGACCCAGCAGCAGTGAAGAAACGGCGATATATTTCCAAGTCAGGATGGTGAGTGGCTTGGAGAGGAACTTGAAGGTAGTGGTGTTCCCATATGTCTGTTGTCCTTGTCCTTCTCGATGGAAGTGGTCGTGTGTTTGGAAGGCGCTATCTGAGGATCTTTGATGAATTTCTGCAGTGCATCTTGTACATAGTACACATTGCTATTACTGAGCATCGGTGGTGGAGGGAGTGGATGCTTGTGCATGTAGTGTCAATCAAGTGGGCTGCTGTGTCCTGGATGGTGTCAAGCTTTTTGAGTGTTGTTGGGGCTTCAGTCATCCAAGCAAGTCACACTCCTGACTTGTGCCTTGTAGATGGTTTGACAGGCTTTGACGAGTCAAGAGGTGAGTTACTTGCCACAGTATTCCTAGCTTCTGACCCGCTGTTATAGCCGCTGTGTTTAGCTACAAGAAAAAGAACAGATTTACATCCCCTGACTTGTCAGGGAGGGATGTAGTGATTGGAACGAGGTCAGCCAGGTGGACCTTGTTGAATACGAATTCCTTGATTGCAGTTGTTAACTTGGTCCAATCAGGGAGCCCTGGCTGATAGATATAAACAGGAGTGGCAAGGATTCTCCTCACTCTAGGGATTGCTTCTGAGCAAGCTGGTCAAAGTCCATATAAATGATGCACATGTAAATAAAGGGTGACTTTGTGATGGGATACTGGCCTCTGTAGAGTTATTTCAGAAACAAAGTTCAGGTTTTGAGATTAAGGTTTTTAAGGTTAAATATGACTCTAGAACAAATTCATTTTGGAGATGACTCACATTTGACATTAAGTATTAACTCTGTTTCTCTCTCTACTGATATGAATGCACTTGCAGTGTATTTTTAGGTCTTTGTTTTAATTTCAGGTTCCTAATATCCATGTAATGTTTTTCATACTTCTAAAGAACTAGGATGCATTACACATACCAATAAGACCTAATGGAGAAAGATGAAATATATCAGGGAAGAACTTACTTTTATATAATGTCTTTGGTACTTGGGGATATTCAGAAGCACTTCACAATTAATGAAATACCTTTTAAATGTGGGAAATCATGAAGTAGTTTTGCAAATATTTATACCCCATAAAATCAATGAAATGAATGACCACATAATCTGATTTTAGTGCGGTTGGTTGAGGAAAAAATGTTAACCATGAATAATTTTAGCATTTTTCAAACAGCAGCCTACAATCTTTTCAGGCCAGAGAGGGAAGATGAGGGTCCTTGGTTTAAAATCTTTTCCACCATGTATGACAGTACAGCAGTTGTTTTTAATCCTCTCCTCCACACTCCATGTTGAACAATTTTGCACCGGTTCTCTTCCTTCCTGCAGGCTCCAAGCAGAACTTGAACTTATTGACTGACTTTTTTCCTCTTTTTATACCAGTTTCTTCAATTAAAACAAAATATGGCATTTTTAACATGGGAGCAGGAGTAGGCTGTTCAGCTGTTCGAGCCTATTCAACCTTTCAGTGCGATCATGGCTGATCTGTGGCCTAACTCCCTATACCTGTCTTTGGCCCATACTGCTTAATAGCTTTGCTTAACAATACATTATCGACC